GAAAGCCCCAGACTCCATAATTGGAGGTTTGGTCAACCCCATTTTAGGATTGGCCTTAAGCGAAAGCAAAAGGAAACCGAAGTCATTGCATAACTTCCGGGCAAAAAACAACTGGCCAAACAAGTCTGGCACAAAACCGGGCAAACAAATCCGGGCAAACATTAGAAAAGCTTTTTTGAAGTGGTCCCCAAACCAGCAAATTTAAGATAACTTCTTTACAAAAAAGTACGGGCAAACAGTCACACAAAGGGGGTTGCCCAGAAGAGGCCCTGATCCGCTTTAATGTGTCTGTTTTGCGGCCCTCTTTAGTGTCCAACTTGTTTGGGGGTTGGTGGAAATAACAGGCTCTTCCCAGCTACATTGGACTGGACAAAACTGAAGTAAGAACTGGAAATCTGAGAGTCAGCCTTGGCAATACAAAATTGGAATTGGCAATACTAAAGTATGTACCGGCAAGTCCAAGTCCCACCCAGAGCCGTAGGATTTCTACTATACCATAAGGTAGCAAGACCTAGCTAAAATTGCTACTCCTCGGTTTCGGGGCGCGCCCACTTTCTACCCGCCCTCCACGCTCTCTCAATCCGTCTCTGGGCTTCACCACCCGCGGGTCGGCATCCTGCAACGCCTGGGCGAGGCGATCCTGGATCGGAGGCCGCACCTGGCGGCGGGCTTTGGGCACGTTTTGGCCATAGATGGCGTTCCGCCCGGCGCTTTTAACCGCTTCATACCGTGGATGGACGAAAAACCCACCGCACCACCAAATGAAGCCAGAAGAAACCATCACGTGTTTTGGGGTATGTACGGGGGGAAAGTATCATTCCAGGGTTTCTTAGGCGGTGCAGGATTTCGTCCATCCACAGTGGTAAGGCTTATTTGTGTATTCACCCGGTTTTCTGAGCCTGAAAATGGCGGAACCAAACTCCGCTTTGCCGGCTTGAGGAATCTTGTGAGATGGGGTTGGACTCCAGGCAGGTGTCGTGCCTCTCGAAGCCTCAAATGTCTCACAAGTTCGACGAACCAAATTTGGCGATGACCTGCCCCGCCGTATACGGACCTGAATCGGGTCATGGCTCCCGCAAGGCTTCCTTGGGTGGCTCGTCTGTACGCCTTTCTTGGTGGTTAAGACAAAAAGCAAGAGGACATTGTAGGGGGACCTAAAAAAAGATACAGACCCAAATGGAGGAAGGGGCCCCCATATGTCTTCAAATCTATTGTATCTTTGAGATCCCCCTGTGCATTTCACCCATGACAGGGTGAAAATGACCTCCCTATAAGCTTCTTTCTAAATGAAGGCTCAGCTCGGAGGCCCTTAGATGGAAAACCACCATTTTCGGAGAGCCTAAAAAAGACGGACACCAAAGAGGGAAGGGACCAACCATTTTCAAAACCCTCAAATATTGCTGTGTGCCCCAAATGGCGAGCCAGGCCTGTGTCAGCCATCCAATGGCGGAAGCCGCATGGGCGCGCACTTCCTTGGAGCAATTGATCAGTCCGTGGTTCTCAGTTCACGGACACCATGGGGTTTCTCAAGATGGGGAGACCTGAAATGGGTTTCTTCCTTGTGGCGTCCTTAAAGGGTTCACGATCTTTGAGAAACCTCCACATCACACCCAAAGCGTGGCTAGGCAAAAGAATGGTCTCAGCCTGCACTCCCATGAGCTTGCCTTCAAATTTAGCTGTGGCTCCAAAAACTGGTACCAAAATCAACCCTGGCAAGTGGAAACATGGGCCAAAACCGGCGGTTTGCCCCTCCGCTTTAATTTTGGGCCACACCCAAATGGAGCACCCAAGATGACTGGTTTCCCTTTGGTTTCCCCTTTCAAGGGTATATCTCTTGCCTCAAAACGACCGCCACAGCTCTCAGGACCATCTCAACAAACAAACTACATTGTCTCCCCAAAATCCCCAAAAGGATATGGGGGGTTTAAAGGGAAACCAAAAGGAATCCAACCAATTTTCGGGGGGGGGCAAAATGTGGAAGGCGGACAGTCTCCGCCCCCATATCCAACAGCAGAGAACCCGAACTGAGCTGGAGAACTATCGCGATGCCGAGATCCCAATGAAAAAACAAATCCCGCAATGGGTGGACATCAAACAAAGGTCAGGATTGATTTGTGCCCACCAAGCTGCTTTTGAGGTTCCCTATGAAAACTCCCGGCCAGATAGCCGAGCTGCAGGATCTTCGTCCTCAAGGCTCTTGGCCAAATGTGGCGCTGCCTCTGCTGCTGCCTCACGCGCCAACGAACCCGGCCGGTGCCATAGGCAGGGAAGGAGAAATGGCATGACCCCGAAAACCATCCAGGCGGTGTCCTTCAAGGGAACTTGTTGGGTTCATTCCCATATTTCCGACTGAGCACCAAGGTTTAGAAGAGACTTTGAGCGAGGTCAACAGCGCGAGAGAGAACATTGCCTGTTCACCGCGGCGTCTCTGCAAACATCCCCCCCCAGTGGCCTTGAGGCACTCAACTGAGTTCAGTTTTTGAGATCAGCTCTCAATATGGCGAAGTGAATTTTGAGCGTCGGAACCACCTCAAAAGTGATTATGAATCTTCTGGAAGGTGTCACCGAAGAGTCCCACGCAAAACAAAAAATCACACTCATCTGGCCATGGGTCAAAAGCCCGTCCCCCCAGTGAACATCCCAATCCCCACTAAAATAGACTAAAATGGGTGGTGCACCTACCCCAAAATGGGATCCCAGTGGTTTTGACCCAGCCATCTCGATCTGAACTCAGCGCACCTGCCCAATCTTGCCAAGAGCTCGCGCCTGGGCCGGGAGCATCAGGCGGATGCTAAAAACGGGATCCATTTGGCAGGAATATTCTGGGGGTACCTTTGGTACCTTCCCCATTCTTTCCAGGGATCCTTCTTTCTCCACAAAACCTCCGGAAACCCAGGGAAAACGGCCGGTTTTTGGAAAGAATTATGGTTGAACAGAATGGGGGGTCACCCGCTAGCAATATGGGCGTCAGAGAACCAGCGAGTCACGCCCTCAGGCTCGCTCCGCCCAAATATGATGCCAATGCTGGTCATCAATCAACCCGGGCAGATTGCTTTGGGAAAGCCGCCTTTTGACGCAACTGAAAGGGGCAGGGTACTTGGTAAGTGGGTAATGACCATGGTTATAACCCACTTACCAGGGTTATAAGTCTCCTAAGTAGGTTATAACCAGGCTTACTAACCACTTACTAGGTGCACTGCCCATAGGTGTCCTTGTAGCGGAAATAGATGGCCCTAGATGATTGAACCACCAGGTAAACCAGGGAAACCCATCTATTTTTCGATCAAAAACCGCCAAAAAGGACACCTATGACACTGCCCCTTTAAGTAATGTTGACCCCGGATTAATAAACCCCTGGTTGATTAATAGGGAGGTGTCCCCTTTTAGTGGGGATTCGGACCACTTTTTTTTGGAGGGAACCCCCCCTAATAATGGGAGGGTCAACATTCTGGCTATCTATCACTATCCTATGTCCATTTCGTCAGACTCTCTCTCCGTGTTCCTCCGAGGCGCCGCTTGCTTCCGCACTGCGGCGGACTCGTCCCTCGGCGCGAGAGAAGGGTCCCCCTTTTCGCCCGTCAAATGCGCCGTGGGTTGCCCTTTTCACGGTCCAAAAGGGGAGGAAGTCGGTGAGCGTGCCATGTTGTACCCTTCAACATGAGCTTCCATTTGCTTGAGAATGTGTTTCCCCTGTTGGTTTTAAAATGGATTCTTCCAGGTGGCATAAGCAAGTGGAAGCAAGGTGAACACCGACCGCTTGCCCGCATCGCCTGAGAGAGAGGGTCAGGGCGATGACAGCCGGGCAGTTCGGATCCTGAGATGCTGCCGTCCCCCTCTCTCTCAAAAGCTGTTTCATACTCGCCAAAAACAAAATAAAGCGCAAAACGCCGCGCCTTTGCACCCACCTCGCTTTCGTGGAAGGTCTCCTGTCGCAACTCGATCCTCTCTTTTGACATGGCCACGAATTCGCTTTTGTGGACATCACTTGGCTGTGGGTCGAAACCCTGTACCCTTCCGTCAAAATAGGTGGTACATGGGTGTTCCGCCCCAAAATGGAGAAATACATAGGTTATGTGTCATGGCCACTTCGGTGGGGATTTCAGGTCCCCCACTCTGGAGGTTCCCTAACGACTCGCCTCCCCCAACTTGGCGCTCCTCTGAGGCTGCGGGGTCTGAGAACCAGGCGGGCCGCGCTACAGCCACTCCTCCAAGTCCAGTCCTGCCGAGCGGTGCCTCTTGAGGCACTGCGTACGAGTGGTTTCCTTATGGCGACCCCTTCAAACCACGTAACCCATGGTGTCCTTGTGGCGTGCCTCTCAAACCACCCTTACCCCAACACAGCAAACAGCCGTTTCCGCCCGAGCCGGCGTTCGACGCGAGAGCTTTCGCGCGTTCCCGTTTCGCGTGCGGTCCCCGTCATCGGTGCAAATGTACCGCCATGCGCCTTCCGCTCACCTGGCGGAACAAAAGGCCCTGTTCTTAGGCCCCCAGTGAAGTCAGTACAAAGGCCACCCTTTGAAGCTGCTCCCCCCGAAAACGAACGAACCAAAGGGGCACAAGAGCCCAACATGCGATCTCCGGCCAAAAAACCTGGGCCCGGGGACCAATGGGGGTTTTGTCAAGTATGGGCGCCCCCAAACCAATCGTAGACGAGCACTGATAGCGGCTGCTGTGAGGCTGTGTGTGTGTGTGTTTTTGTTTAAGAGTCCCGTTTTTGATTAGGTTGAAGAGCACAGACCATTTTGGATTCCCTGTTTTGAGACATACCCACGTTAAGGGTCCCCCGCAACGCTCACAGCCGCAAGCACGCACCTCAACATGCCCAAGGAACCCAAAGCGAGTTCGAGCCAAACAGCGCGTCCACACTTGGCAAGCGAAGGGCTCGAGCAACCAGAATACAATCTTTGTTTGAAGCTGACAACACTCCAAATGAGATCCAAACCTGGGCCAAAGGCCAGAAAGCCTGTCTGATGCATGCGCGACCTGGGATCGCATTGCTCCTCTTGCTTCGGCAGAGACTGCCAAATGTCTTCAGCAAGATGACACAGCACCTGTGTACAGCGAAGCGTCAAAACCCGGCGCGCCGGCGCGTGCAGCAAGGGCCCAACCGGTGCGATGACTTTGGTCATATTCACCAGGATCCAGTACAAGACTGTCTGACAGCCTGGGAGAGGCACGGATTGCCAGGCCGAAGGAACAATGTGTTTCCAGGTCCTCCCGTGGAGAGGTTAGAATAAGGGTACCCTATTTTTCTTCTGCAGTCTATTTTAGTAGGGGAACCCTCCCCAAGAAAAGGTAAAAGGGGGCCTAGGTATATTTCCCCAACGAATGCGTGCTGTTGCACGGCCATGATTTGCTCAAAGCCAAGGCCGGCACTTCTTCGGGTGTGGCTATCCTTCCCAGCACTGTACAGCCTCGCAGAAGAAAACAAGGAAAACAATGGCTGCAGGCAACCAAAGTTGTGAACTGGCGCCTATCTTTGGTCAGGTCCAGATACAGTGAGGACAGGTCAATCGAGGTGAACCTTGCGCGCAATGGCATTGGAACGGACAACTCACTTCTTGTTTGCACACCCAACGCAAACGCCTGTCCAAAATCTTCGTGGCTGTGCTGAAGGAGTAGGAGTCATAGGCCTGCAACAGCAGATTCCAACCGCTCACACAGCAAACTCTGCATTGCCTCCTTCACCTGCTGGAACACGGACTCCGCTCGATGCACAAGACACCGATCAATCCTGGGCTGGACTCTTTGCCGGAAACTCTGTTTGTGTTGAGGCAAATACGCTGGCAGCTTGTCGTACTCCACAGAGTTCGATGCCACGTCAAAGTCGTGAATGTTCCCAAGGATCTGACATGATTGTGAATGTGACAAGATGTGGGCTCCTTCCATATGGTTGTCTTCCGATTAGCTCTGTTCATATCCCGGTGTACTTCTTTTGACACGCTCCGACTCTATGTGCTGAAGGATGTGCAGAGCCGGCATGCCGGGCACGCGAAGCGGGCTCGATTCCGAAGCCGCCGCACGTTCTCCTCCGCGTTCTTCAGGATGTTCTGGCCTCAGAATTTCGGACCCGCGCTCGCCTGAACTTCCGTTCCCAGCGCACATGCCATGCCATGCAGGGCATCCCCTGAAACCATCCGCTCTCGAAAAGGCCCCTGTAAATAGAGCCAAGTCTTCCAAAGTCCGGGAGCTTCCATGTTGGGAGTCTCTCGCTAGCTCCTCCAGTAGAGAGGTTCGAATGAGGGTACCAACTTTTTTCTGTAGTCTCTTTTAGCAGTAGGTTTGAGCCCTCCCAACCAAAAAAGGGGTAAGAAAGGGCACCTAGCCGGGGGACCTAGTCTAATTCACCAACTGGGAAGCAGGGCTTCCTGAAACGACTTTCCTGGGCATGATGGGTAAAACCCACCATGAGCTCAGCTTCATCGTTGCATCAACCCCTCCAAAAAACCTCGACCGGTGACCTCCGTCGCCTTTCTCAGCCCCCAGCTGATCGACACCTCGTTGGAGAAGTCCACCGAGGCCACCCAGAAGCGCAGCACGTCGGCGCCCCGCGCGGGCTCCTGGAGCTCCGAGAACCGGCGCGGCGCGGCGCTTGCCACGAGGCTCAAGACGGATTTGGGGCTTTGGTGGGTCTCCAACTCCTATAAATGGATTTGTTTGTTTTTGCCCCGAAATGGAGTTGGGGATCTAGGGCTTTTGTGGGGGGTCCAATAAAACCACAGACAAGGGGACCCTAATAAGAGTAAAAACACCGACGGTACTGGAAGCCCACATTTTTGGGGCACACAGAAATCATATGTTCAGAGCTGTGTGTGTGTGTGTCATATTTGAGACGGTGTACGCGATATCAAATAGTTTGAAGAAGACAGGCAGCTCCCAGTTTTCGTCATAGAACATCATCCCCTGCCAAGAAAAACACACCTTCACTTGGCCAAAAGGGTGATGCAAACCAAGCAAACAATATAAGGAACCCTGTAGGTATCCGGGCATGTTTTCCTCTACATTGTACACCTGGTTATCTACCCATAAAGAGTGCCTGGTTAACCAGGAATATGTCTATCTCTGGACTTTGGCATTGATGGTGTCTGTGCATGGCGGTCAGCCAGCGGCACGTGCGTGCCCTCGTGCTTGTTTAGTGTGTATGTGTGCGTGTGCGTCTGTCTGTTTGTGTTTATGTGTGTGTGTGTGTGCGTGCGTGTGTGCTAAGTTTTGTTGCGTGTGCTTGTGTTTGTGTTGTTTTCTTTTGTTGTGTGGTTTTGCGCGTGTCTGTGTGTGTTGTTTTTCTGTTTCTTTGTTTCTAGATTTCTGTGTTTCTGTGTTCGTGTGCGAGTGTTTGCGTAGGTGTGTGTGTGTGTGTCTGTGTGTTGGTGCGCTGTTGTCGTTGATTGTTTGTGTGATCGTGTGTTCGTGCGCTTGCGTATGTGTTTGTGTTTGTGTGTGTGTGCTTATGTGTTTGCGTATTTGCGCGTGTGTTTGCATGTCTATGTGTTTGTGCGTTTGCGTGTTTGCGTGCTTGCGTGTGGCGTGTGTGAGTGTGTGGGTGGGGGGGTGTGGTGTGTGTGTGTGTGGGCGCGCGCGCGTGCGTGCCACCAAAACAAATGCTCTTCATGCACGAACACACACACACACACACTTATCTCGAGAGGCTTCACTAGCCGAGATGAAAAACGCAGTCGGTAAAAATGCTTGAATGCAAATGCAAATCAACAGGTCACAACATCGACACCGAACAGGAAGCAACAGCGACAAACAGAAACCGCAAAGGAATCAGGAAAGAGGGTCATGAAATAGGCAGGTACGCCGGATTGATCAGATCCGGTATCCACCGAAATGCCGTAGCTTCATTGGACTGGATAGGCAAATCGGCTCCAGTCCCCCTGCAATGTGGAATTTCCGTCCGTGCTCCAGGACGCTTCACACACACAAGGCCCCGGCGGGGCGGACACGAACCACACAGAGGGAATTCCACCAGGGGGCCGCCAAAAACCCCGCGGCAACAGCAAAAGAATTTCAAGGACAAAAAACCGGGCGCACAAAACCAAGCAGAGGGAATTCCACCAGGGGACCTCCAAAAACCCCCGGCAACAGCAAAACATTTTCAAGGACGAAAAACCCGAGCGCACAAAACCAAACCGAGGGAATTCCACCGGGGGACCGACAAAAAACCCCGCGGCAACGGAAAAAGGTTTCGCAAGGCGTCAATGGTGCAAATGCATGCGAGCACAAAGGGGTTCTCAGAGGTGCCTGTCAAGTGGCCTCATGAAAGTGCCTCATGTGGCTATGCCGATGAATCTGAACTGAACTCATGAATCTGAACTGAACTCATCCGAGACGAAAGCTTCCATAAACGCCACGAATTGCAGAGTTGGTGTATGACCAACTCGTCACTGGCGCATGAAGCTTAGGAACCTGAAACCTCGTGGGTGCAGCCTTGCTTCAAAGGCAGGCAGTGCAGGCAGTGCAACGCGCATGAAACCAGCAGAGCACCATTTGGGTGCGGAATACCTTAAGACCTCAAGCTGCAGCCTTGATCGTGGTCAAACGCGCTGAACTGCAGCTTGAATTTGAACACTTGAACGGTCTTCCCCTCGCAGGGGGCTCCCGCATGTGGCGAGTCCAGCCCACAGCGCCATGTCGGACAGGCCGTGGGTAAACACACTTATCTCGAGAGGCTTCACTAGCCGAGATGAAAAACGCAGTCAGTAAAAATGCTTGAATGCAAATGCAAATCAACAGGTCACAACATCGACACCGAACAGGAAGCAACAGCGACAAACAGAAACCGCAAAGGAAATCAGGAAGAGGGTCATGAAATAGGCAGGTACGCCGGATTGATCAGATCCGGTATCACACCGAATGCCGTAGCTTCATTGGACTGGATAGGCAATCGGCTCCAGTCCCCTGCATGTGGAATTTCCGTCCGTGCTCCAGGACGCTTCACACACACACACACACACACACACACACACACACACACACACACACACACACACACACACACACACACACACACGCACACACGCACGCACGCACGCACGCACGCACGCACGCACGCACGCACGCACGCACGCACGCACGCACGCACGCACGCACGCACGCACGCACGCACGACACACACACACACACACACACACACACACACACACACACACACACACACACACACACACACACACACACCACACACACACACACACCCGCGCGCGCACGCACGCACCCAAACAAACAATCAAACACACCTCTGCGCATGCATAAGACACTTTGCAGCTTGGCCAGCGCTCCGCTTTCTGGTTCTTGCCGCCCTCAATGATGTCTCTCGGGTCGATGACGTTCCCCACAGACCTTACCATGTTTCTGGAGCACTGGATCGACCAAAAGTTCATGGAGGCAGTGGACATCAACCAATTTGACCCAATTGGTCATGAGGCTCAAGTTGCACCAGTATGAGGTCGAGGCTTGCTCATCTTGCGGCCGTTTTCGTCCACCTTCGCACAAGAACCCTGCCCCCTCAGAAACTCGGAACATCTGGGTGTGTCTGTTTTGAGGCTCGCTACCCGTTTTTTGGTGGTTTTCAAGGAACACCAAAGGAAAACCACCATCTTGTGGGTCCTTTTCGAATTTCCAGTTTCTCCACTGCGACCCCGACAAGTGCCGCAAGCCTCATAAACGCGACAACTACGAGAAGTTTCTTTGGAACGAGGCCCCGGCGCAGAACCCGTGCGTCATCACCTGAGGCCCACGGAACCTGTGGATGGTCTGCACGGGTTCCAAAAACACACACACACACACATGGCTGTGGGTCAAAACCAATGGTACCATTTTGGGGTAGGTGCACCGCCCGTTTTAGTCTACTTTATTGGGGACTGGGATGTTTGCTGGGGGTACACGCTTTTGACACATGGCCACACGTCACACACACACCGCATTTTTCCGCGTTGCAGCTGGCTGGGCTGCTGGCACTCTTGTAGGGCGCCCGGTCATTCACCGCCACCGAGGTGATCAGAGATGACTGGAACCTGCTCCATGCGAGCCATGAACGAGGCAAAAGCTCACCCAAAAATTGGATCTAAACTTCAGGTGTTTTGCACGCAGGCACACAACAAGACCATATCCTTCTCTGTGAAAGAAAAGGTTCGAGGCAAAAAGGTAGCTGTAGAGACTGGCAATCTCCCGGCCACAGGGAGCATCTGAAAATGCGACTCTTCCATTTGCTTTCTTGCCCGAAAACAATGATAGAACATATTTGCAATAGTGAGAGACTCCCTTCAAAGCCAACAGGCAAAATACCCTGGCATCAATTAACATGGAACCTGAAAGGGGGTCCCTTTAAAACTTCAAAAGGAAACGGTCCAAACCATTAAGACACGTCGAACGGTTCCATGTGAAGATGGCTGGGAAAACAACAACACATATTCATTTCAGGATATGTTTTGTTTTGTTTTTTTGTGTTGTTTGTGAAGATTGGTGGGAAAAAGTGACACCTTCATGTCAGCAACTTTTCCGCAGGATCTCGGCGTCGCCCAAAAAAACGGTTCAGCTGAGGCCGCCACCAGCCGCGGTGCTGGTCCTGGCCCTCAAGGTACAGGTCCACCGGCGAGCCCAGCTCCTCTTCGACCTAAAAGCACCGAAGAACGTCCTGGAGAGCAAAATTCTAGGGGTACCTTCCATTTTGTTTTTCCCGTCCAGCTTTCGGTGGTCATTTTTGTTTAGTGGGGCTATTTACCTTGGCGGGAGACTTTGCAAGATGATTCTAGGGCTACCTTCCATTTCCATTCTTAACCCAGGGATCCGGATCTTTCTAGAAAACCTCCGGAAACCCTTGGAAAATGGCGATCGGTTTTTTGGAAAGAACGATGGTTGAAAAGAATAGAAAAGGAATCAACCCCAAGAAAAATGCTGGGCACAGGAGCGGCTCCTGGCGACCTTTCAGAAAAAATGGGGCAACATGAACCCCCCCAACACAAAAAGAAAAAAATGCGGACCCCAGGAATGTATCAAACGCAGCCAGGAATCTGAGAAAAAAACAATCAGCCCCCAGGACGTCCCGCCCTCAAATTAATTGGACAGGTGCTGGTTCATGTCTCTACTTACCAGGGCACGCCATTGATTTTTTACCCAATTTAACCCACAGCCGTATGTGTGTTTCTCAAAATTGGATCCTCTGTGGCAAGGGTGTCCAGGTCCCTTTTCTCCCTTTGAATATCGAAACAGGTCCAAGATTTTGAGGCCACCGGCCAACTACAACCCGCATTTTTCCCGTCCACAACACGCGTGGACAAGATCTGGCCCGATTTTCCACAGGAGAACTGGAAGACAGGCACTCCAGCTCGCATCTCGCACATCTCCCACAGCCTTCTTATATCATGCCTGCTGTGTGCTGGAACTCAAGCAGGAACGCCCAGTCCATCATATGGGTGTGTGTGTGCCGAATTCGGAACGCGCAAAATGGGAAATGTCCCTTTTGGCTTTGGTTTCCCGTGAAACGGGCCTCAAGAAGGCTGCCCTCAAAAACACACATGTACACACACATACACCTATATCTGAATCAGGCCATCGAGCATCCGAGCGCTCAGTGCCAGGCGTATGCCCAAGATGACCCGGAGTCAAACCAAACATCCATGGTGTCGGTACCTTTGGAGAGTGCCACTCTGCGAAAAATGAAAGCAACACAAACGCACAGGGCAAGCAGAATCGCCCAAGACCATACCTTCAACTGGACCACTCTCCGAGCGGCCTTTCTCGTAGAGCTCTGCGGAGTCTTGGTACTCCGCAGGCAACAAGTCGGCCACCGAGAGCTCATACCTGAGTCGAAGGAACAAGCCGTGGCGTCCTTTTTTCAATTTAAAGTCCCCAACTTCTCCAGCCATGAAGCTCAAACTTGAAAGCAACCTGGAGGGGCGCCTGAAAAATAACGTTGGGTCATTTTCGCCCGTCCCAACCAGGGCCCATCGCCAGGCATTGCTGCCCTTCTCCTCAAAAATGCCCCGGACCTGGCCAAAGGCGGCAGAACACGAGCGAATTGTCCAGTGAGGCCTTTTGTGGGCATTGGAGTTCCCACCCACGCACACCCCGACAGACGCACGAATCGACTGAGAGACCGAGAGACTGTCAAAGAGACAGAGAGACAAACGGACGGGCGGACGGACGGACTAATGGACAAACACAGACACAGAAACAGAAACAGCAAAAACACACACACACACACACACACCTACACACACCTACACACACCTACACACACCTACACACACCTACACACACCCACACGCACACACACGCACACACACCTACACACCTACACACACACCTACACACACCTACACACACACCTACACACACACACCTACACACACACACCTACACACACCTACACACACCTACACACACCTACACACACCTACACACACCTACACACACCTACACACACCTACACACACCTACACACACCCACACGCACACACACCCACACACCTACACACACACCTACACACACACACACACCTACACACACACACACACACCTACACACACACACCTACACACACCTACACACACCTACACACACCCACACGCACACACACCCGCACACCTACACACACCTACACACACACACACACACCCACCCACCCACCCACCCACCCACCCACCCACCCACGCATGCACGCACGCACGCACGCACCCACCCACCCACCCACGCACCCACACACACACACACAACGCCACACTCAACCCCACAAACCGCCCGACCCCATGCCAACCCCGCCCCACCACCCCAAGCCCAGCCCTGAACCCCACCCAACCCGCCCAATCACCCCACCCCTTCCCTCACTCTGCCCCCGCAAACCCCTCCCCCCGTGCCACGGACACCTAGAGTCTATTTTGCAACCATACCCTAAAAACAAAAAGAACCTAAAAGAAGTAGGTTGCAATATAGACCCTAAGTGTCCACCATACCCCCCCCCCCCCCCGGCATGGCTGATGACATCCGCGTTCAGCAGCGGCTCGCCATCGTCTTTGCGGTAGAAGGCGGGGATCGGCCTCTCAAAGCGGTGCTGTTCGATGGTTGCCCTGCAGACCTGTCTTTAAAAGTCCCTTCTGCTAGGCTTGGTCTACAGGGAGGCCAAAGGAAACCCATGTCTGGAGGGCAAGACGATTTCGCCTTGTTCCCCGGGAGAATCTGCCGAACATTTCCCTAGACTCAATGTGGCTCGAAGTGTCCCATAGTTTTGGGCCCGACCCCCAACCATTGCCCACCGCCATGTCGCATGTCTCACGGCGAAGTCAGCTCGCAGCTTGGGGTTCCGGGCACCCCCCAGGAGCGCTGACGCGAGATGCACCAATCCTGCACGGGTCTAGCTTGGATGTCCGTCCCACCCAAATAGCTCATAAACACAAGGGGCCAACCCCAGTTACCCCAGTACTGGAGGCAGGGTTGGGCGCAAAGCCTTTCTATGAAGAAGTGATTCGCCTTGTGGCCTTGGATGATTTCATGCTTGGAGATCGGAAAGCTGTCACTACTGCCAGCCCTGTTTTACTCCGCTGGCCACTCGCATTCCGGATGTCCCGCCGGAGCGAAATGCGAAATGCCAAGCTTGGCCACTCGTTTAACTCACTTCCGAGCCAGTGGATCGGCCAGAAAAAGTCACCTGACACTTCTCGCATGCCACTAAAATGGTCCCAACCCAAAAAGTGGCTAAAGTAAATTTGAACTCGGGAAGTGAGAAATGCACACCCCAGAACCCCCAAGAAAAGCAATGATCCCCATCTGAGTTTGTTTTATCGCTCGTGTTTCTTTCCAAGCCCCCGGCACTGCGACCCTCGATCATGGGCCGCATGCGGTTGGCATAGGATTCCGGAATGAACCTTGGCCCGGCTGTGCAGGAAACCGCGGGCAAGACTCCATGGCTCCAAATTTGGGACGTTGGCCAAAAAAGATTCAGCTTCCCTCCAATTGGGTGGTTTCTCATTTACCCTCTACAGGAACTAGGGGTTCACATCCCCAAACCACAATCCAAACCACCAACTAAGGGCGTATCTGAAAGATAGCTGGCCATAGGATACTTAGCAAATGGTCAGCAACCATGTTAGCCCAACTCCTCTTGCCCCCCACGTGGGTGATAACCAAGCTTCCCAACAAGTGTCGTCCATGTTCGGATTACCTTTCCCTCCATCTGGGTATAGGTCAAAATAAAACGAAACCAGGGGCCAGGCTTTAATCATTGTTTCCATTTACCAGGGCAACCCATTTTGGGGTTACCCTATTTTTTGACCCACACCCATCTGACTTCGGTCAAAAAGGGCGAGGATGGGATCCAGGGGCCGTGCCGGACCTGGTTCACCGCCTTCATGACTTTGGGACGAAGGCCATCGATGCTGGCAAACCTCCAGGCGGGCGGCGCGTCTGGCTCCTTAAGGGGTTGGGAAGACCTGGTCTGAGGATTTCTGGGATTTGTGCCCTTATTTCCCGCAATATTGCCCCCCACATCTTTTTGGGGCTTCAAGGCAACTTCTTGATCCATCCCGGGTACACCGCTTCAAGCACAGACTCTTCTCTGTTGACCCCTCGACAACCAAAAAACTCACTAAGAGCCATCTGGGCCAAGTGCCACTGAGGGGTTGCGCGAGTGATGACCGGCTTCTTGCTCCGCCAATCGTAGGGGTACTTGTGAGAGTACCTCGGGCACTCACTAACACGAGTACGGTGGAATCTAGTAGGCAGGAAAACCCAGTCTGCTGAGTCAAACAGGGGTTGCCCTTTATCGCCTTAACTTTTTGTTCGGGTCATAAGTGTAATAGACTACGATGTTGCGAATAACCTTTGACGCAGCAGCGCAACAAGCAACATCCCAACCAACAACATCCCACTGCAAGTAGGCTGTTGGGGCAGGTTGAAGCCGTTTCAAAGCAATATGTGCCTTGCCTTAATAGGGACAAGTGCTGCTACTTTTGCATGAACGACAACAATGTCATGATTGTTTGTTGTGTATTTATTGTTTTTTCCTCCGACGGGACGAGACTATGAAGAGTGGAAGGGACACCTTGCCTCGGCCACCAAATCACTGAAAGGATGCATATTCGATACGAAATCCAGCATAAAATGAATCAAACCTTGAGCTTGGCACACCTTGTGGATTCAAAGAAGTGGCAGCTGCAAGTGTATGACGCGATCATTGCAAACGAACTTCTTTGTTGAATAGAAACTATCCATGTGACTCAAGCACTCCATGCCAAAGTGACTGCTTTCCACAGGGGGTTGAGGCGCATTCTGGGTCTGACCACCACACTTGTTGACAGGGCAAGCACCAATCAGTTTGTCTTGCGCAGTCTTGGTTGGGGAGCCCTAGGATAAAGCTCTTTTCCGAACTGTTGTCACATTCGCAGAAGTAAGGACGATGACCCGCTTAGAGAAGTCAGTTACAAGCCCAACTCGCCGCAATGCTTCGCTATTGGCGAACAAAGGATTGGTGAACACACGAGAACAGTGGCTCTTCTTCACCAACAAGTTAATTTGGGGAAAACAAGGTTGGAAGAGGCGAGTGTGAGAACACTAGTAGGCGCATCGCCGTCAGTTTGAACCAGGCAAAACCAAATATTTCAATGAGCAAATCGCCGTCAGTTTTGAAAGTCGCCTTCGCACACCCACTGTCTCACTCCGCTTGCGGGCGTGAGACCACGGCTGGGAGAAAAGAAAAAGAACGGGGGATTCAAAAAAAAGGAGCAAGCTCCGGGATACACTTATTTAAAAAAAAAAAAAAAAAAAAAAAAAAACGGGGGAAACAGAAAAAGATGCAAGCTCCGGGATCAAGCAGCCCAACGTAGATTCGAGCAAATCGCTGTCAGCTCTTTTCTTGCTGCCACCCCAACCCTGAGCTTGGCGCGGGAAGCGCAAGAGCAGCAAGTCCTTCTCTTCCAGGAGCTCGGTGACTCGGGAGTTGGCGTCCTTTGTCGAACGGCATGGGTCGTTCTCTCGGGCTGTTGCCCACAAGTGGGTGGCCTGATCCGTTCACTCGAGCCTGTTAGTTAGATGTGCAAGCCGAACGAAAGAAAAACCATGGTCGATGGCCCGACGCTTTTGGACGCGACGCCCTGTTCGTAATGCCGCCTCCGCAAGGTTGTGTGGGCGTTCTGGGAAGCAGAAAGCTTGCTCCATGCTCTTCCTTGCATCAAGGGCCGATTGAGAATAAGTAGGGCAGGCTTGGCATTTGTTTGGGTTGGCCAGCCTCAATCTTCGGATGAAGCAAGAGAAATGGGCTTTGATGAATCCCCCCCTCGGCTGCGGGGGTGGGCTTATGAATTTCTGGCAGCTGCGAGGTGGGTTCAGGCTTGATGTGGAGTCTTAAAAGGAACTGTGGCTGAAGTTCGGCCTGGGATTATTTAGGCGTGTGTAATGTTCACCCCACATTAATCAACCCCAGTATATTCTATAATATGGGGGTGTGCCACTCCAATAGTGGTCTAAATCCCCACCAAAACCACTTGGAGACCGGGACCCGTATCAACAAACTGGTTGGTTGATCAACATGGGGTCAACATTAGGATGGATGTACGTTTGGAATTTAGCAATTCCCAGTGCAGATGCACGTTGCATGACTCGGAGAAGTTCAATTGGCCCCTTTTCTTCTTTAACGCTTGTCGAATCATGTACTGCAATGTGCCCATTCTCGGCAAACCCCACCTTTTGGGGGTAAGCACTCGATTCAGACAATTGTTCAACCCTGCAATGTGTGAAAGGGATAGATCCCCAAACTTCCAATGCCATCCATTGCTGAGTCCTTGGGCTCCAAAACAAGTCAGCTGCCAAGCCTCCACAACAGCAGGTGCATGTTCAAGGCCTTATTCAACCTTTCAATTGGTCCTTCGCGCATTTTGCGCGAGCCCCTCAAGAACCCTTCAAACACCAAGATGGGACGGGTCGCAAATCGCAGGTTCTTGTCCTGCCAGCCTCAAGCTTAGACCACATGGACCTTGGATGCTCAACCCTCACCCTGGTGAGCTAGGGAGTGACAGCTTCTCGGCGACTGGCAACCAAGTGGACTATGCCCAAAGATCGCCCCTAGGCACGACTAAGTGCAAAAGGGCCGAGCACGTGTTTCAGGCAATGAGACCGACCCGCCGAAATGAGGTTGACCCACTGCGACTCAGGTTTGCTTTGCTTTTGATTCGAGAAAAGTCATATGTCGGTCATTGGTTTTGACTACCTTCATACCTCTCGGTTCCACCCCGACAAAACCAAGTGTTTATGCCCTTGCATGTTTGTTCGTGCACCAGTCGTGTACCAGCATAGCCCGTATCCAAAAGTCTACCCGAAGTTTCATTTCCGGATGAAGTTGCTCAGCTCCCCCCCTGCAGTTCGGCTCCTTCAAAACGTTCGCCCCGACCAGGCTCTCGAGACCTCCGGGTGAACTGCACCAGGCAAGCCTGGTTTCTGTTGACCCCTCTGCAAAAAGTTTAACTTTTTGTGGGTTTAGTGGAAAACACCCTATTTCCCAAAAACTTAAAGTCTAAAGATCCAACCCAATAGCAATCAAGCAACGACATCTGCGTCACGTGGCGGCAAACGGACCTGCAATCAGAAGAGGCACAACCGCAACGTCCACACCAAAACGGAAGTCAAAAACCGGATTGGGAAACCAAGCAGAGGCGAAAATGGAAGTCGAATAGGGATTTCATGAGGTAAAATAGAAGTCTCTGCTTCCCTCCGATTAGTGGTTTGGATTGGCGGTTTGGTGAAGAACCGGGGGTTCAAATCCAAATCCCAACCACCACGCTCTAAACCACCAACAAGGTGTACCTGAAAGTCAGTGGAAGTCAAAAAGGTGCAAGTGGAGTTGAACATGGAAGTCGAAAAGAGGTCCTGAGGTAAAAAAAAAAAAAAAAAAAATCATGTCGCTGGAAATCAAAAACCACAAACATCAAGTCAAACGAGATGTTTGGAGGTGAGAAGATCGAAGTCAAAGGGTTCAGAACTCAGTGGAGAAAAAAACTCAGCTTGTGGGGGGAACCGTCCAAAAAAAACGGAAAGAAACTCGGGTCGAGCTCCGAGCGGCCACTGGCGATCACGCGGGTCCGCAGTTAAAACAAACTCGGATTCAGCGAGGAGCTAAGCACAAAAAAAAAATCCTCGGATTGTGGGGAGCGTCAAAAAGATAGTAAAAAGACAAACCTCGGCTTGCGGGGATTCGAAAAAAGAACGAAAACGGAGTCGCCGCTTCCTGGGCTCCTCGCCCACCTCCTCGGTGAAGTTCCCGGCGTTGTCCACCGGCGCTGCCACCTGGCGAGCTCGGAGCTGCTGGGAGACAGAATCGACTTGATGCCTGGGGTGCTACCTATCCTACATACATTTACATATGTATATATATATATATGTGTGTATGTGTATAATAATACATGGATACATCTATATATATATATATATATGGGCATATGTATGTATACATATATATATATATATAATATACACATGCGTTATATACATATTCATATTGATATGTGTCAAGGTAGGTCTGGAGTCTGGACCCCCCAAAACGTCCGAATCCAAAAAAAGTGTCCCCTGCTTCCCTTGAAACCAACCCCAAGAAGGGGACTCTCACAAGACACACGAAAACTGAGTCCCTAGGTTCATTCCCAAAGGCCCTGAAAAGAGGATTCCGCCACCGAGAAGGTTGAAACGCGGAGGAAAGAAAGAGGAAACCCCACGTTCGATCGGATTCTGAGGCCATATCTGATCTTGAGAGCGAATTTGGATCAATGCCGACCCAAGATGAAAAAGAGACAGCATGACTTCATGCACGGCAGGAGCCTTTGGAGGCACAAGACCCTCCAAAGAATCACAGCTCCTGGTGCAACCCAGCAACACAAGTACAGCTGTCTTGCGGAACAAGATGTCCCGATAAAGAGCATCCCTCAAAAAAGGGACGACATGCACTAGGTTGACCAGAGTCGCGTTTCGCGCCTGCCCACTGAAGAACAAATGTCGTGTCGTATTGATTCATCTCATGCTTGCTGATGGTCTTCCTCCACACTGGCCGGTCATTCACCTCCTACACAACTTACCACCTGCCCGTTTAGCAAGCACAAACAGGTGCCATCCTGCAAAAGGGGCAAGGATTACTGAAATCCTGGATAGTGCCTTGGTTCCAGCGTGCTTGAGAATGGAAGGTCCAACCAACGAGGCACCAACGACAGGGCAAATCTAGAAGAATATCACAATGACAGAACATAAGGTGCTTTCTCTCCCACATGCTTGTTTTACGACTCGGTCCGGTGCACCAAACCATGGTGAGAGGGTAAACTTTTGGTTGTCAAAGGAGGATTGCCAGTTTTCCTTTTGGCTAAGCCTATGTAAACCAACCCCAAAACAGGTACCCTAAAAACAACTCCATTTGTGAAGCAAGGATTCTGCGTGCTTTTGTGGCTTCCCGGATTTCTTGTAGAAAACTCAAAACAATCTACCGCATGAGACGGGGGCGGTTTTTTTTGAGTTGGCACCCCTTTGTTGGTGACGTAAAGAAAGAACAAAAGGAAAACCACAATTTTAGACTGTATACACCCACATACCCAGCCGCGGGGAATATCCCGAATGCCGCACTGAAGAAGAAACTCAGTGCAAAAGTTCTTACGCAAAGGGTTGCTCCCCAAAGGGCCGCGATCACAAGGGGAGAATCTTCCCTGGAAAAGAAAAATCGATTGTGGTTGTATCTTTTTTAAGTTTGGACCCTCCAAAATTCGCGAATTTTGCTTTCTGCTTCTCTTTAAAAACCCACCAAAAAAGGAGTGCGATCTCACAACAAGACACACTTTTGTCAGTCCCATGCTTTTCCCTAACTCGGGGCGGATCGATCGATCCATCCCGCCCGGTCGCCGGCCTCAAGGCCGTACTTCTGGCCTACCATGTAATCCTCAGGGTGCGACCAGGGTGCCGCATCCCAATGGATCGGCACGGACTGGATATCGCGGACCAACACGCCCGCGAAAAGCGCAAGAAGTTCTTTCCCAGCTCCAAGGTGCAGGTATGCAGCAAAAGAGGCTGACCCCCAAAATGGTGGATGGTTTTGTTGTTGCTTTTTGATTTCAACAGGGCCCCAGGCGTGGACCCCCAAAATGGTGGATTCTCTTGTTGGGTTCCCCCCTTTGCTCCCCCAAAAAGCGTGCCCTCGGCACTAGACGAAGCAGTGGCTCTGGCATGTCGGGCCCCCTGCATCAGCGCCGTGGCCGGGAGCCGTGTGGACCTCGACACGGCACAAGGCTAAGCGGGCCCTTTGGTTAGACCGTTTTGGGGGGGATGATAGGGAAGATGACATGAGGGGACAATTGGGCCGGATTTTTGGACCATGGCAAGATGAGCTTCTTTGGACCGTTTTTGGACCAGGCCGTTTCTGGATGGTAAGATGACATGAGGGGGTAAAAACCATGGCAAGCCACTGGGGAACAACTCACAAGCGAGGCTTGTGAGCAGGAGACGAGCTGGCAGAAGAAAAGGAAGGGCTGGTTTGGCCATTCCAATTGATTGGTCCCTTTGAGTTTCCTTTGCACATTGGGTGGCCTTTCAAACCATCTGAAAGGAGTTAACCCCATGATAAACCCTCGGAATCTGCAATCATTCTGCGCATGTTGGCCAATTATCCAGCGCCCAGGTGGCGGATGCCACATGCTCCTTCCTTCTACAAGCTGATAGAAGCCGGATTGGAGAACGGTCATCCTGCTGGGAGCTGTTGGCACCATTCCCACATAACTGCTTCAGAGGCTACCAAGCACAATCCCAGGCGATTTGCAGGCAGGATGTGTGACGGGGACATTCCTGATTCAGGTTTGACCGGAATGCTGAATAAACAAGCCTCAAAGTGTTCATCAGCCTGCCTGATAAGCGCGCACAACACAGCTCCGCGAATAGAACGCCAAACCACACGCCGCGGGAACCCTCTTTCTCTGCAATCCTTGCGATCAACCCGATCCCGTGTCATTGCCCGGGCTTATGCATCCGCCCCACGGATGGCACAGAAAACTCGTCCAATCCAAGGATTGGACTCCCCACATCGCCATCGCTGGCGACGTCCGCGCTCAGCGACTCGAGCTAGAAGTCCGCATCCAGGGCAAAGGCATTCAGCGGCCCACCTTCACCCCCCATGACCCCGGCCTTCTGATACTCCCCCACCCGCTTCTCGAAGAAGTTGGTCTTGCCCTGCAACGAGATCAGCTCCATCCAATCGAAGGGATTGGAGGCCATGAAGAGCTTGCTGTGGCCCAAAGCGCTCAGAAGACGATCCGCCACGAACTCGATGTACTGAGTCATGAGCTCCTTGTTCATGCCGATCAAATCACAGCTCAGGGCTCCGCAAATGAACTTCCTCTCCACCTGGCAAGATTCAAATTTGTCAGTTTCTCTTCTGCTGACAAGCGAGTTTCAACATCCCTGTTCTGCCTGAAGTTCTGCCTGAACAATAATTACACACTCCCAGAGGGTGCACCATATGCCTCACATCCGCTGCACTCCCCAAAGCGATTTGTTTAAAATGGAGAAACCCGGCTACCCACGTTCTGCGGGACACACAAAGGACATCCCATGCGACGGCGCACCCCGAAGAAATAGGTCTCTATGATGGTTCTTTGGGTTTGTTCATCAGGGCATGTGTGGTGTTGTCCCTTGAAAAACTGGACGCAGCGGCAAAAAAGACCGGCGCGGATGCAATTGGGCGCTCACCTCCACAGCGCCCCTCACGATCTCATGCACGATGTCCTCCGGCAGCTTGTGCTGCAGCATGCCGTACAGCAAGCAGGCGAAGTCCGCATGCAGGCCCTCGTCCCGGCTGATCAGCTCGTTGGAGAAGGTTAGCCCAGGCATGAGGCCTCGCGAAAGTTCGAAAAAGCTCGGGAAGTGGCTTTCCTTCTTGGTCTTCCTTTTGTCTTCTTTCTGCGTCTGGTTCTCTTGGTTTACTTGTTGGTTCTTTCTGGCGCGCATTTGACTTTCTGCGTCCATCTTGTTTCCTGTGCGCCCGTCTTCTGGCCAAACGCTCGCAAGAAAGAATCCGAGCCCGCGAGCGGGAAGCCAGCGGGCCGACTTGTTCAGATCGGCTGCGAGTCATTGTCATGGTTAAAGGACGTCAAATGAGAGACTGTAAACCTTGACTTTTGATTTGTCATCTTTTGACCTGTCAAAGATCATTGATGATACGGTGTCAATTGGAACAAAAGATGGAAAACATAGTCACTCGAGCAACCTAGCGCTAAAATATAAGGTTATTAGTAAGATTAAAGTGTTCACAAACTATATACTATAACATCACATCCAATCCCGTGAACGGACACCATGATATACCCATCATGACCAACGTCCTGTCGATTCGTTGATGAATACGGAGATACAATTACGTTGTATATGTCGAAGTGATACTTCTCTTGTATATAACCTCATGTGTTATGTTGTAGCATTGTACTGTTTGTTTGACATGTGTCGTCTTGAACCATTATATGGTGACACATATCTTCCTTGATACGAATATGATATATGGTTCAATGTATAAAACTTGGATGCACATAGTCATGTTTGAGCATATGTGAAGATACATTGTTACACATCTTGACACATATGGTGTTGATCACCTCTCACAAATGAAACATAATAATTATTTGCTTCCTCTCTTCAATACAACCATAAAACTATTTATACGCATCGTATGATGTAGATTACTTTGTTGTCAAACCTGACCGTCATTTCTTAACTTAAGAACTATCTGCTAACAATCGTTGCCTATGGCACCCACCCTTCTCGCATGCAAATGTTCCACTGTCATGGTCACATGACTAACTGGTCATCATATTGGCAATGGATGATTGATTCATCTTGCTTTTGTCGCCTATGTCATTGGGGTCAGCCGGGCCTCGCTTCTTCAGCCAGAAGATGGCGCAGAAGGAGCCGCTGAACAAGATGCCTCCGAGAGTCTCGCGGCTTCCAAGGAGTTGCCAAAAGAAGTCGCTATGGTCTTCCCAAAACGTGAGGCCAGGAATTCCAGTGAGGTTTGTGCCGCTTGAACTGGGGCGTGAAGGCAGCAAGCTGAAAGGAACCTGAATGAGCTGCATGGCAATTCACATTTTACAAGATGATAGGTGATGTTTGGGGCATAGAGTCCCACTCATCAACGAGGCTTGCCAACACTTGAGGCGTAACTTTGGTCCATGCACATCTCAGCCAACTTGGCCGGCTAGACCTCCTGGCGCCCCGCACAGCGGGTTGGTTCAACCTGTTGAAGCATGGAACCACTGTCATCTGGCCAGTTGGGGGCATCGAATCCTTCGAAACCTTCACGAGGGCAAGATCTGCGTTGCGGGAGCTTGCAAGAACCTGACCCTTGCCCAGAAAATCGGCTGGGTCATCCCTTGCGGTTGAGCGCATCTTGTTCGTCATACGCGCTGTTCAATTGCCAGTGAGCCGCAGAGTCTGTGGAGTGGCTGGATGGAGTGGCCCCGAAGGGCTCGGCCAAAGCCCGCTTGGACCGGGCGGTAAACCCCAAGACATGAACTCCTCAAAGCCCCAAACAACGTCCGGCGCGCAAGGCGCACAGGCAACAAGCACGAGGTGGTGCCTCCACCATTCCCCCATTCCCATAGGTCAAGGCTACCGAGGCCAGGGAGGAGGGGTGTCCCATCAACATCTGCCCAAAGAATCCCGTCACAGAATTCAGGACTCCTTTTCACAAATACTCTCTCTTGTTCTTAGCCCTTAAAATCGGCCGCGCTCTGGTTCTTACCGCTTCGTTTAGTTGACATCCTCAAAAAGACCATCCAAATTTCAGAACCGTCCCAGCTTCTCCGACTTACTGTTTCGGGCCCCTTTCCCTCCTTCTGAAAACCAAAAAGAGAGATGCCCTTTCGCTCGATCAATGGATGGGGATAGGGAGGGAGGGAGGGAGCCCTGGTTAAGCCCTTCTTCATCCCTTATTAAGCCCCTACGGCTTTGTTCAGGCTTTAAGGGCTCGTTACGCCCTTGTTGAGCCCCCAGCCCTAAGGCTCCCCCCCCCCTCCCCCCCCCTCCCCCTCAACCCGGGAGCCTTCCACGCAGGCGAAGGCCACCAGGCGCTCCGCGAAGCTGCTCTCCCGGTTCATCCACTGAATCGCCCAGCTGGCCTCGCGGCGCGCTGCGCCGCGCTCCCGCGCTTCCCCGCGCGCGCGGGCGAAGCCAAGGCCACGTGGAACCGCAAGGTGGGTGTCCCAGGGGTGGGCTTGGGGTTGGGGGGTGGTCCTTCTGCAGATGAACATGAGAGACAAATGAGACCCCCCCCCAAAAAAAAAAGGAGGAGTCCAAATGCGAAGCCATGGCATGTTGGACCCTGAAGCCATGGCCATATTGGAGGGCTGGTTTCCCGCACTTAAGCCATAACTACCGGTTGATTGATCGGAACAAAACGATGGGTTCCTACCAGGGCTTCATCTACGGAGGTACACATTCAGCCTTTGGAAGTATGGATTCTTCGTGTGCATCTTTGAAGCTCTCCAATCCATGTCTTTAGCATAGAGGATTGGACGCTGAAGGACACTCTAGAAATGTGGTCTTCTTCTGGACGCCTCCGCAGGTTTACGGGAGCCATTTTAGGATGATGATAAAAGCTTGGATGAGACTCATCTCTTCGTTCCTTTGCATTTCATCTCTCCAGTTGTTTACATATGGTTACCTGACATGAGAGCCGGAGTGATGGCACACAATACAAAAACGGAAAGATACTAAGAAAACATATTTGATGAATTCCTGTAGATTACATCTCCAGATTTCCAGAGTTGAAATGCATTAGAGGATACGATAATGTTGGCAAGCCATACCTCAAAAGCTGTATGAAGCCATTCTCGTTCGCAAGACTCGTCTGTCCATCCCCGTTCACCTGTATTGCTTCGATCGGTTTGTGGGTGAGTTTGTGAGAGAAGTGGGTGAAGGGTACCTTTTTTTTGGTGGTTTTCAAGGGAGACCAAAAGACAAGTCACTATTTTGGGGTCTAAAAAAAAATCACCGCCCAAGAATCAACATAGGAAGACCAAATGAGCGCAATGTCCCATCAGCACTCCGCTTAGAAGGGATGACGTGAAGATCGCCACCGAGTCCATGCAGCATTTAGCCATGGATCCCACCCAATCCCACCCAATTCCCCCCCGCGCCCCCCCGCCCGCTCTATACCGCACCCGAGGGGACCCATGGACTATCAGGTTTCATGAGTCACAGGTTGGTTGTCATGAGTCACTTGGATGCTTGCAACAGGCAAAGTCCATAGAAATCAACCGATGAAGGTCTCCCGGCTATCCTCGCTCAGCGTAACACCTACTTGAAGAACAGCGGTTCGGGCACAAGCTGGCCCTGGAAGAGGTCGTGTCCGCCGAAAACTGCCCAAACTTGCCCCAGCTTTTTCGTCCATCTCGCCCAAAGGCAAAACAGCGTGGCCTTCGGATCTCAACTCGGCGCCTTCTCCCACACTGCCGGCATGGTGTGGATGGCATCAAACAGCTTCTCCTTCTCGGCTGGGTCCTCTCGCGCGCGTTGAAACACCTCCCAGCCCATTTTTGCAGGGGTACCTTCCCCTTTCTTTCCAGGGAGCCTTCTTTCTAGAAAACCTCCGGCAACCCAGGGAAAACGGCTGTGTTTTGGAAAGAACGATGGTGAATCAACCCCTAGAATCCCCAGTCTCGTCGCAGGTCCTTGATGTACTGCTCGATGAGCAAGGAGTAGGTCTCGGAGTGGATGTTCTCCTAAGCCCCATGGAACCAAAAGCAACGCCCGCCGGACGAAGAGATGCCATGGTTGGAGTCAAAACTGGCTTTTCACCGACACACACTATGATGCTCCTCACCAAAAAGCAACAAGTTGAACGAACATTTCTGACCCCATACTTGGCCACTGGAAAATCCAAACCTTCGAACCACTCGTTCTAGACCCAAATCCCAAGGTCCGCTTCCTGTTGCTTCTTCCAACCGCCCACCTTCAGGGCTTGCTGACCCAAAAAAGAACGGGCGGATTCTCTCCTTGACTCCACACCACCCACATCACCCTCCCAGGGTTCTCCTGAGACCCAAAAACCACGCCAGGGGCACGGCATGGATTTTTGTTGCCCCCCCTCCCCCCCCATTTCCCCCCCCCCAGCGGTCCACCCCCGCCTCTTTCCCCCGGTTGCCCGGGCCGGGGCGCCATGGCGATCTGGAAGCCATAGAAGGCCCGCGCCTCCGGGATCTGCACCTCCGAGGAGAACTGCTGGGAGAGGTTCCTCGAGTCGAGCTGATCGCTGATCGAGTCGAGAAAGCGCCCCGGGGGGGGGGGCGGCTGCGGGGGGGGGGGGAAGGTGCGGTGCTGAGCTGCTCCTGGGTCCCCAGAAACACCAAGCCCTGCCAACCCCCCCCCCGAATGTTTGTGTCCGGTTCTAGGGGAAGCTTCCAGTTCCGTTCTTTCCAGGGATCCGGATCTTTTCAGGGAACCATCAAACAGGGGAAACAGCTGTTTGGAATGGGGAAGCAACCCCAACATTTGTCTTTGTCCTGTGTGTGGGGGGGGGGGGGGAAAACAAAAAACGCTGGCATTGGCGTCGGCCAAGCTGGGCTGCTTGGTAAGGGGGGGCTGGGGCAAGCCCAGGAGTCTCGCTTGTGAGGCAAAAAGGCGAGAAGTCAAACACATCCGGCCCCTAGTCCTGACAGTCCGAAATTTCGATTGTGCCCTCCTTTTGTTTATGCCCGCAGGCATGCGGGCTCCCATTCTACCCTCATCTGCGTAACATCCCTGAAGTTGACACATCCCCAGAGAGCAGAGGTCAACCTGGCTTGGACCAACACCGGTTTGGGAGGAGATCTGGAGGAGAAGAAAAAAACACAACAACGCCGTTCACCGCGCTCAACAGCGCGCGCTCCCTTTAAACTGCTTTTGCGCCTTTGCGACCCACAGAAACCCCCGTTGCGCCCCAGCATCTCCAGGACGATCCCGTCACTGGCCGCAAAGAACGCCAGGACGTGCTTCACGAAGTGCTGCTCGGACTCGTTGAGGCCCGCCCAGTCCTTGCAGGAGACCCCGCCAAAGGGCCGCGGAAAAAGCGCGGACGTTTCCCCCCTTCTTTCCGGGAAGGAATGAGTAGTTCAAGACCATCCGAACGAAGCTCTTTTTGACCTCAACGCACCACCGAACTACCAACTGACTCACTCACCAACTTCCTAACTGCCTGACTAACCAAATGATATGTATCATCGAGCCTTTTTTTCGGCGAAATGCCTGAAAACTGTTTTGTGGCAGTTGCCGCTGACAAGCTTGTTGGCACATCACCGTCAACTTGCCACTGCCTTGCAAAAGCCTCGTGCTGCAACTGACAAGCCAAAGGACAACACACACACACACACACACACACACACACACACACTTCGTCGTGCAAGGGCGCGCACGTAGCCATGAATCTATCTTCATGCAAACATGCCCTTCTTGGCGAACACTTAACGCGGCACCCTCGCATAACGAATGTCCAACCACTTGTTCAGAACTAATATCCCGGTATCAGGGATATCTCACACAGGGCAATAAGCAGAACAATGAGGCGGAGCCCACGTTGTCGGCGCCAAAGGCATTCTTGGAACAAAACCGTGCCGTTGAGCCCACCAACCGTTGAAAAAAGCGAGAGCGGCGGGACAAACTTCTTCAGAAATCCCACGTTGCGAACCACATCGCGAGCAGCCAGGTCAGTTGACTAAAGGCAACTCCACGCTTGCCGGTGGTGTCTGCATTTTATGGAGGCGTTGGCTTACCCTACCGCATGTTAAGCACGCAAGCCTGCACGCCTAAGGTCTGGCAACATGCTGAAACTTTCAAATTGCGCCATTCGCCTTGCAAGAGCTTTCAGCCACATCGTCAAGCTCCGCCCAGCGCAAGCGTCGGCACGGTCCGCTTGCCTCTCTCGGAGGAAACGCGGGCACAAGCCCTGTGGAGCACCAAGCCACCGACGCCATTCTCACAGATACACGAGGCCGCGCTTCTCCAGATCGCCAAACAAACGAAGCCAAGTCCGGCCAGGCCAAGGAGGTTTGTGACTGGAGCTGTGGTGCGCCAAAGTTAGCGTAAACTCAAAAATCCAAGTGAGCAATACTTTAGAGCCTTCCATGTCCTTGTTGTCCTGCGCCAGGTCGATCTCTTCAGCTGTCCAGAATGAGGCCTGGCAATCAGAAGTGTCACCCGGCCGTCCCCACTGTCCCTCTTCCCTTTGTCAACATCACCCGCAAATTGAAAGTGAACTTCGAAGCTGCGGTTTGATACTGCGGATGGACGAAATCCATTTCGCACCACTTTGAAACCGTGGTTGAAACCATAACGTTTGTTGGTATTTGCAGGGGAATCATCCTTCCAGGGCTTCGTAGGTGGTGCGAGAAGCGGATTTCGTCCATCAGTATGAACGGAAAGCAGAAACACCCGTGAGGTGGCAACTTGCTTCAGACACCTGAGAATCCACTTCAAAAGGTTGTAGTGTACGAGGAAGGCAAACAAAATGGCTTGACTGCCTTCCTTAGCTGTATCCCCAAGCCGCTCTTTGTGTGTGCGATGGAAATCCCCCAAATCGTGTGCTTTTGTGTTCTCACTTCGAATGAACGCAGCTACTGAGAGGAAACAACTGTACGCTAAAAGTAAAATGGCTCTCCCCTGTCAGGAAACATCCAGTTCCACCCATCAAGATATCGCTGCAGGATGTGTTGCCAAACCTTTCACACTGGCCATCTTTTTCTGCCCAAACATCCTTCCCCGGAAGCTTGGCTTTGCTCTTGCCCCCTGCAAAAAGTTTAACTCTTGGGGCCCGGTTTTTAGTGGACAACCCAACTTGATTTCAACCAACAAGTTAAAGTCTAAAGATCCCTTGCCCAATAGCAAGCCTCGTGCTTCTTGTACATCTCCCAGACCTCCGGATACTGCAGGGGAAACATGACCCATCGCCGAGGGTTCGGCTTCAGCAGGGCGTCCGTCTTCTCCAACTCCTTGAGACCAGGAAAACAACCCTTCCTCTAGGGGTACCTTCCATGTCCATTCTGAACCCAGGGATCCGAATCTTTCCAGAAAACCTCCAGAAACCAGCCATTCTTTCCAGGGGTCCGAATCTTTCCAGAAAAGAAACCGGAAAACGGCAGGTCTTTGAAAAGAGCGATGACTGAAAAGAATGGGGAATCCACCCCTGGATTTCTGCAGATGTCTTGGTTTGTTGGATGACCAGAAGGAGAAAAGCGAAAACAAAACAAAAAAAAACAGAGGAGGAAGCCTAAGGAACTGGATGGTTGGGTTTTTGGCCCGTGATGACCGCCCCAAACCCTTGCGATAAAGTGGGCCACTTTGGTGGTGCCTACTTCGTCACTTCTTTTTCGTTCAGGTTGCCTCGGCACCAAGTGGCCCCAGCCTCCAAGGGCTCAGAGTTTGCCCCAAAGACGCGAGCGCCCGTACCGCCGAAAGGGAAGTGTCAGAAAAACCAGCGAAAGGCAGAGGAGCCCCTCCGAGCGCAAAAGATCTGATGCCATGATTTGCCACATGTTCAAAGCGTGAAGCTTCCTTCACCTGCAAGCCAAATCACTTTCCTTAGCGCTTCCTCTTGCAACTGTCAGCAATTTTCTTAGAGTGAGCCAAAGCATCTCTCAAGCGTGGCACCTTTGGGCGTGATCTTGAGAATGGGTGTGATCAATCGATGCCAATCGCAGCGTAGACCATTAGTGTCGCGGGATGGCATGCCTGCAAGCAAGAGCTCTAAAACAACTTGTGAAATCTGAGCGAGTGTCAAGCTTGTTAGTCCGGGCATGCTTACAAGTAACCGCTTTCATGAACCGCTCTGCACTGGACGAGACTGGACGAGTGTCTGAATCCGCTCATAGAAACGTGAGCGAAACGTCTTGATCCAAGTCCTCTGCGACTCCAACAACTGTCGCAGGAGGAAAACGTCTTGGGAACTCCGCGTTTTCGTCCAAATTCGTTCCATCTGGAAATATGTACGCTCGGCGTTGCCATTCTGCACTCATTTCCAAGGCGCGGAGTGGCAGATACGCTTGAAACTTTGCAAGGCAAAGGAAGTGACAAATGATCAAATACAGATTCTGCAACAACAGCTGTGGCTCAGGGTCTGATCTGAGGGCTTGATGACCGTCTCTAGTCTTTTGAGTCCACCCGCGGGCGGCCCACTTGCAGCCCAGGGGTTAGAAGAAACAGAAAGCGCAGAAATACGCGCTTTAGCCATCCCTCAGGTGAATGGGAGGCTCACCCTCACCCAAAAAACCGGCAAGGCCAGTGTCCTTGTACTGGTCAGAGACCCGGCTCTTGTGGGGAACGGCCGCCAGCATGTCGGTGGCAGGCTGGTCTTTGGCCTTTGTCCGAATCTATGGCTTCAATGGCTTCACCAAGAAGAGTTTGCCAAGTCTCAACTCCCCGGCCGTACCAGGCGTTTCGACCACTAAAGAGACATGGCGCCGCTTGACAGCTTGACAGCTTGACAGCTCGACGCTTCCGACGGCTCAAATGCCTTGCCGAAGGCCCTCGGCTTGAACCCCTCGAACGTGTTAGCTGCAAACCCGCGGCTGAACTTCCAAGTACCGTTCCCTAAACATGTCCCACGACCACCGAAATTCGAGTCAGACTCAAACCCGGCATTGAAATGGTCTACCCAGAACCATGCTTCAAGATTTGGACAGGCGGAGATCCGCACCCATTAAACTGGCAAGGGGATTCTCCCTTACCCTCGGATTAGCCTCCAATTTTTCTGGGTTCTCGTATGACTCAAATGAGGTCCCAGCGACTTCCCAACCGCCAGCCTCTGAGCCACGCTCCGCCAGCACTTCCTCCAGGTCCTGCGGCAGCGTTATTTCGTAGTTCCGGGCCACGGTGCCGTCCGGGGCGATGAGCACGTGGTGGGGGAGCCCAGACACCCCGTACTCCTCGCAGCTTCCAAAACGGAAACGGAACTTGGAGGTTCACAACTCGCATGGCAAGAGTTTAGCGATTTTGGTCGGTTTCGGAAGCTATCATGTCCCCAAAAAGTTCAAGATACTCAAGATACCTGATAATCGTATAAGCACAAATATGAATGGACTCACCTCAGTAGCCCCAGCTAAGACCAACTGGGTTGAGCTTCCAAGGAGGGCAGTTGCACTGCGGATATGGGGGGGGATCCGGGAGGGGCCCAGCGGACGGCAATCGGTTCGGTGCGCGCTTTCTTCGCATTGGAAAGGTTTTGCTGTGAGGGTGGACAGCTCCTGGCAGTTTCTGTCGAAGGCCGATCCCTACTGAAATGTGTTCGATTGGATCCCTTTAAACTGGGCTTTCCGTGTTCAGATCCCCGCTAAAAGTGACGAACCCTTAGTGGCTTAAATGGAAACCCCCGCTAAACCAACTAGAAACCTAAAAGGCTAAGGCCAAAAAAGGAAACTTGCAAAAGCCGCTTAAGCAGGTTGACTTCGAGCTCGCGTTTGTGAAGGCAACGACAAGGGGAGTCGGCATCTGCATATACATCCTGTGCCCAGGACTGGATACATCACAACTCTGTCGTGAAGCAAAAAAGACTTGAAAACATGCAGACAGTAGCATGACTGGCAATCCGCATTGCTTGCGGAATCATTTGGTGGGGCATGGGTATCCCCTTCCAAAGTTGCCTTCGCCAATCCGAACAGAAGCACTATTCTGGGCTGCCTGCTTTTCTGGAATCCACATCCCCCTCTCTTGACCCTAGGAGCAATATTGCCCCTTTCAACGTGACCCCAGAGGGCAAAACATGACCAAGACGTTGATGCTTAAACCACCAGGGGGCGAAATCAGTTGGCTATGGGTCAAAACCCCGTACCCCCAGTGAACATCCCAATCCCCACTAAAAAAGGGTTCTAAAATGGGTGGTGAATTCACCTGCCCCAAAATGGGATCCCATTGGTTTTGACAACCACAGCCAAGTGGGACCGCTCAGTCCCGAAAAGAAGAAGAAAAGAAAACGGCTCCTGCGGCGCATCCTCGTCCACCACCGCCGCCACCAGGCACCGCGAGATGCCGTGCTCCTCTGCGAAGTGCTGAGCCTCTGCCAGGGTGCCGTCCACGCAGATCAACACGAACTGGCAGTCCTGGGGTGAGTCAAAATGAAAAACCCGGGAGTAAAAATGGTCTCATGTTAACCCCGGATGAAGTTAAACCCCTGGTTGATTAATAGGGGGGTCTCCCTGGTTTTTGTGGAGATTCATCACTTTTGGAGGGGAACACCCCCCATATTAATAAACCGGGGTTTGTTAATCCGGGTCAACTTTATTAAAATGGTCTACCCAGACCCATGCTTCAAGAGTTGCACCTGGACTTGTCCTGGCTCAGGCGTGAGTCGCCTTCGTGAAACAAGAGTGGTTGTTGCCTTTTGAGGCGAAAGGTACCCTTTTTGGGTTTCAAGGCAAAACGAAAGGAACATGAACATTAGAGTCCCCTACCTTCCCGCTAGAATTTACCTCGTTGGGCTCCAAAAAAAGGAAAATGGGGACCAAACCGAAATATGTGACCATACACTGAAGCACAAGACCGGCTCAACCTAGAATTTACCTCGTTGGGCTCCAAAAAAAGGAAAATGGGGACCAAACCGAAATATGTGACCATACACTGAAGCACAACACCGGCTCCCACTAGAATTTACCTCGTTGGGCTCCAAAAAAAGGAAAATGGGGACCAAACTGAAATATGTGCTTTTGGGACGAAATTACGAAGGCCACTGAAGAGGAAATTCGACAGTTGGGTGCCTCCCCCCCCGGAATGTGGTTGGCTGCATGTCCTCCCCCAAAAGTGTTTGTCCGTTTCTCTTAAAATGAACCCTCGCATCCCCAAAACTAGAAAGATCTAATCCACCACCAAATGGTTGATCAATCCCGAAACTCTCAAATGACAGGGGGGGGTCGCCCATTCCAGAACTCTTGCCTGATAGCCCAGTGCTTTTTGGACGGCATTTGCGGCTTCGGACGTGATTGAGAAAGCCGTCAAGTTGGAGGGTGCTGGTTCCTTCTGGGCTTTGTATGTTCCATCCAAGTAGGTTACAATGCTGATTAGAATATATATATATATATATATATATATCTATTTAGGGTCCCCCCCGTCCCTCCCCACCCAAAACCCACACCCAAACCACCCAGGAGAGTGTGTCAACCCTTAGAAGCGATCCGTGAGCTGGGTTAATAGCGTCCACCGGCCCGACAGTTCCTCATGGTCGATCTGTCTGGGACACTCACCACCTGTCTGCCCTTCCGGAAATTCCAAGAGCAGCGAAGGGATTAGGAAGGAAATGGTGGTGAGTGGGAAAGAGATGGTCATCCTTCATTCGTCATCTCTTTTCCCTTTATCTCACCTGGCCATTACCTGTCTGTCTCTCATCCTCGTTCCTTCCAACGAAAGACAGACAGGATAAAGCAAAGGGAAAGAGAAGGAAGAGAAGCCATCATTTTCCCACGTTAACTTCTTTCCCTTCGTACATTCGGTCTCTCGTAACTTGTCCTGATGGACGAGTGAAAGCGAGGGAATGGAGAGGCAACAGTAAGTAAGAAACCTTCTCTTCGTTCTAGCGGTTCATCCAAGCTTGCCTCCACTTTGGAATTGTCCAGCTTGGGAACGAAGGATGGTGACCAAGTGACATGACTTCCTTCATTCTTCATCCGGATTTAATGATAACAGTCTCCAGATATGCTAGGATATTTGCTACGAGCAGCATGTAAGGTCTAATTATTTTGCAACCGGGTATCTGCTATCCCAACTCTTGCTGTTTACTGCTAGAATGAAATGGAAAGCGAATCATCTTTTTTCTCTCTCTCTCTCTCTCTCTCTCTCTCTTCATCAGGACAAGCCTACAAAGATTTATGGATTTCTTTCTTCTAAGAATGTCCCTTCCTTTAACCGCTACCAACTGATCCAGAAAAGAGGCTGACCGGTGAAAGAAGCTGGAGACAGTACTCGAGACTCCGGATATCAAAGCTTGTGCATAAAGACATAGACAGAAAAAGCTATGGAAGGACGAAGAAATGACCACCCATCACCCATCACTCACTCTCCTCTTTCCTCCTCGCCCACCCAAACCCACTCAAACCCACCCAAACCCACCCAAACCCACCCAAACCCACGACCCGCCACAACCCCCCCCTTTTCCCCGGAGCCCTGGCCCAGTCGCCTCCCACGTCGCTGCCAACTCCTCCAGATGCTGCGCCGCCTTGGGGCAGGCCTTGCACCAGGGCGCGAAGAAGTCCACCACCAGGGCCTGAAAAAAAAAAAAAAACGCACCCCACACCCGGGGATTCGTTTTTCTTGTTTTTCTCTGCGCGGATGTTTGATTTGCTGTTTGTGTTTATTTCTTGCGTCTTTGTGGCATCTTTGTTGATCTGTTTGGCTTTTTGTTGTTTGCATGCCTTGAGGGCGAGAAGGGAGACATGGACGGAGCCACTTGCGCCTGTCCTTGGCTTGTTTTGGCGCTGGTTGACGCTGTCCATCCCTTTGGCGTTGGCCAAACGCTGCGAGCTCCACTCGCAGGTTGAGCTCAACTCCCGAGGCTTTGGGTATCCGGAGATGTCCGGCTTGGTTTGGGCAATACCTCTGGTTCTTGTAGAGGGTCGATGAAAAAGAGCCAGAGGTTCAATCCAAACCCTTCGGCTTTTCGACCTGGATCTGCTTTTTGCAACCGTCTCATTTGGCCGTCGACAAGTTGCAGGTTGTGAGATGGCCCAGAAAATCCCCCCTCCCACTCGCCCCCGCCTGGCCAGGCTTCCTCAGCGACAGCAGCTGCCGGGCACCCTCCGCCAGCTCCAGCTCCATGTCAGGGGCCGCCTCTCGCACGGGATGCCGTGGACTCAGGGAACTTGCGGCAACCTCATGGATAGGGTCCCAAAGTCCTGCTTCCCATGGGGCTTCAACAATATTCCGTTCGGCCCCCACATGACCCTGGCTAGCTTGTCCCATTTCGGGGAAGATGTGTTTTCTTTTGGAGTGGTTTTTCCAACCAATGGTCATCCCACGCAACGACCCTTTGCTCAACCCCGACATGACGTTGTCGTCCGCGACCAACATCCCCGGCCTTGCTGATGAGGTGCGCCATGGCGGAGAGCGTGCGATCGGGCGATCTGCGGGAGGATGCTTGGGCCGAGCTTGAGCCAAGTGAAGCGCCCGTCGTCATGGCTGCCCGGCGCAACATGTCATAGACCCCCAAATCAACCCTAAGCCCAGCCCGGTAGGCACGCCCGCAGCCCATGACAACCAAGCCTACAGATCCGCCCTCGGCTCTAAGCCAGCGTATGCCAAACTGGAAATGAGGATGTGGCCGGAGGTGGCTGACGGATTGATCAACCGGGCAGGTTGAAAAGCATGCGCTAATCCTGGATCCCATTGACCAACCAACCAACCAACCAACCAACCAACCGACCGACCGACCAACCGACCGAACGACCGACCGATCGACCGATCGACCAACCCACCGACCCATCGACCAAGGAGAAACAAAGTATTCCATATGAGCCCCAGACAAAAATTACCTGACGTGATTCCCATCCGCCAACTAATCGACTTCCTTGCGCAGCGCGCGTCGGTTCACGATTCGCTGGGAACCCAGCAAGACCAGTTCCAGACTCCGTGGTGATGTAGTCACCTGCGCACGTGGAAGAACGCACCTTTCCCCGCAAATCGCACATCAAACTGAGTCCTTGGAAGGCAAGGACTGAGGCACGTCACTCTTCAAAGAATGGGTGTGCTTTCCGTTAGGGGACTCCAACAAAACCAGTTGGCCCATGGCTGCCACCCGCCCCGCGCGGTGCGAATGCATACGGACTGAGGTGCAGGCCACCCATGACCTTGAGGCAGGTGCATTTGAGAAGCCTTCCATCATTTTTGTTTACTCCTCTGCCAGTGTCTAAGACGGATTTCGGTCTCCCTTCAAAGCCGAGGTGAAAAGGGTACCCCTCAAAAAAAAACACACACACACACACCCACCCACCCACCCACCCACCCACCCAGCCACCCAGCCACCCAGCCACCCAGCCACCCAGCCACCCAGCCACCCAGCCACACGCACGCACGCACGCACGCACGCACGCACGCACCCACCCAAGCACGCACCCACACACACACACACAGACAGAGACACAGATACACAGAGACACACACACACACACACACACCACAGACACTTGGATGTTCAACGTCAGGTAAGCAGGTACCATGGTAAGGGAGCTAGCCCTATCCTTATCACCTACTTGCATGATGCGGATTCTGAACATCCAAGTACTCCGTCAATGTCCACCGTCATATCTGCAAAGGGATACGGAATGTTGGTGAGTAACCAAGTAATTCCCCAATGGTACTTAGGGCCCGTGAGGCTCATGTCACCCTCTTTACTACGGTTTGCAGTAAATCCGTGGCTTAAAGCATCAGTAGCAACCCTAAGAAGTACCCTCCCACCGATGAATATGGAACCTGACGTTGGGCACCCGGTCCCCTTTAAAAGGAAAATGATCCAAACCAGGACTCCCGTCGGCGTCCAGGCTGTTTTTGGTGGGAGAGTATGGAAGTTTGAAACCCCTCAAATGGGTATGGGTCAAAGTAAAACCACCAGGCGACCACATGTTTTAGTCTTTGGCTCCATTTACCAGGGCTCCATTTTGGGTACGCATTTTTGACACAGCCAAATATGCAAATGGTGTCCGTGGCAACTGCATGAAAGGTGCAACACTGTTCGGCGAACACGGTCAGGATGACAGCAAACTTTTGACAGGCAACCAAGCTCTGGTAAGGCTTCTCATCAAAAGGATCATGCCATGCTCTGTCTTTCTTTCGGCTTCTATAATCAATCACACAACTATTCTGAAAGGATGGGTGCTTGCTCTTGCAGCTCGAAGGCCCAAATCTGAGCTGGCAGCCAGAGGAGTCTCTTTGCCAGAGATGGGATGCTCGTACTTGACGCCCTCTAGCTTTCCTGCCAGCGTCTCGGTGTGCGCGTGCAAAGACAGTGGCCACTTTGCTATGCACGACTCGGTGCCTTGACATATCCAATGGACGGCTCCCTTTTATGGCACCTGTCTCTCTTCCTAGGCTACTAAGCAGCTGCCCTTGCTAGGTTACCTCGGAGTGGGCGACAAAAGTAAAGAGTTTCAGTAGAACAACAACGCCCCACCTTGCCTGAACCATGGGGTGCCGGGTCCCCAACAGTCGAGCGAAACCACCAGCATCCAAGGCTTCCGCATGGATTTCGAAGCCAGATGCACTAGAGTGAGAAAGAAAATGACCATGCACAACTCCCTTTACATGGGTAAGCAAAGCAAGATGGCCGGAATGTGACAACTCGCCTCATTATTTTACCATGATCAAAGTCACCCCCTAAGTGGTGGGTTGGAAACAACAGACTTTGATAACCCCCAGAAATCGTCAAAATAATGACCCCAGTACAAGCCCCGCAAATATCTGTGTCTTATTTCGAGCATCCACGCCTCCGGCGAACTCCTTCTCCACCTTGCAGGCCGAAGCGAAAGAGCGAGGCACCCAGAAACTTCGCAGGTCAT